CCTGCTGCCAATGATGAGGATGATGCATTTTGGACGATAATGGGGACGGCGAGTAGGCAGGTGTTGTACACTGAGAGAGATGACTCAAGTGAGGTGTGGGCGGGGTTTAATGCGACAGGCAAAACAAAACGGTGAGGAAACTTAAAGCGACACAAACGGGGGTGTGAACGCGGGGGAAGGAGTACCTTTGTGCCCGGTTTGACAACTCCTGCAAATTGTATTTAACACTGGTTACTGATGATTTAAAGTGCTGGCGGAACGCTCGCAGGCGATACAAGCAGAAAGTGCATAAATGCCCTGCATTTAGATAGGCTGATGCAGGTAGACATGGCCGGCAAGCACAAGCGGGAGACTGGAAGAGCTATTTCTGGTATATTAGCCGTCTTCAGCCAGTCATACCCAAGTAGGGTTGTAATATTGATTATCTATAACCTAATCTTAAGTTACATCAGTCCCGCCAAGATGCCAGCTATGGTGTGCGCTTCTTTTTAATGGCTTACAGAAATCGTACTTTATAAAAATGGCTACTTAAGTAGCACGTATTTTCTTACTGATTTACAATGCCCTTAGAAATTCAAGTATGCTTTATATAAAGCATGCATAAAACTAGTCGCTCTTTTACGCATAAAATTTTGTCCCGGCTTTTCAGTATTTCTTGTAGTCGTTCGGTAGAAAATTAGGCCTACTTCAAATGCCATATTTGACGAAAGACTATATTTTGGTTTTCAAAAACGTTTCTGATTCAAAAGTAGAAGATGTGATCGCTGGAACAAGAAATTTATTTGCTGTTACCGCCAAATGCTGTACTGGCGCCTAACCCTGATTGGACGTAGAGGAAAGCGTGAAATAGGTTTCAAGTGTGAACAGATGATGATGCTGAGGTAAACAAGCAAAACGGATGCGGGCCGACGAGCGGTCAAGGATTAGGCAAAACAAAATGGAGTTGGCCAACACAACAGCGATCACACTGTAAGCAGCTAACCTCAATTCTGAAATGTCAGAAAATGAGAATATCAATGAAGAGAGTGGGGGAAAAGAGATTCAATAAGCAAGCAGAGGGAGGCAAGATTCTAAAAAAACATATTCATGCCAAAGCCAACAAAGATTTTTTCCCCTGAACACTGAAATAATCCCGGCAAAAATAAAAGAATAAAACCTGTATAGCAGGTGGAGAAAATTTGCTTTAAAGCTCTGGATGAGAGAAGAAAAGGCAAAAAACGGGAGGTAGCCAAATTGCATAACCAGCCCTATTTTTTACGCGGGGTTTTCCGTCACAACTAAGGCCTTAATTACAGTGATCTATAGGTCTCGCGAAGCAGCCACATGTATCTTTAATGGTCGAGCAAATGAGGAGGAGATAGTTAAATATTAGATGGCACAGTCAATAAGCACAGATCATGGCCTCAGAGAACTTGACGCACAATGGCATGCAACCTCGATACTCCCCATTTGCATGCACGGTACATGACCTTACTCATACAATGCCATGATTGAAATATGAGTGTGTCGCTAAGCAGACATTTGGTCTCATTATCCTTATTTGTTCAGAGGATTCGAGGCTAAGAACGGCTCTTACTAAAAAAAAACTGCATGTCAAATCTTGAGGGAAAACAGAGAGCATTTGAGCGAAACCGGAGGTCGACATCGAATTCGAGTCCACTTTGCAAACAGATCGGATTACAGGATATACCTGTCCCTCTATGGCTTCGGGTTAAGTCTATAATTCCGCCAGCAGCCCCACAGTGGAAAGACACGGGCGAAAAAGAGAAGGGAAACTGGAATGACCATTTCTGATTTATTAGCCGTCATCAGTCATATCCAACCCCAGATTTGTTCAACTACTGAGGTTCGACCCCACGAACTGTTGCTTAGATGTCCAACGCTCTTACCATTGGGCCAGGGCCTAGATATTTTGCCGATTTCGATTGGAAATATTTACAGTGCCGGCAGGAGGTTTGCTGATGTGTGCAGCACGGCCGAAGTACCAGTAC